GCCCTCCCCACCCTGCTCCAGCTTCCCCGGGTCCCAGACTCCTCTGAAAGTTAGGACCAATGGTCCTAACCCCCAGGGTCACACCACTTCCGACATCGGTGATTTGGGAGGACAATTCTTTCCCTGGCCTTCTTCATGACCCGGGCTTCCCTGGGTCCTAGGAGCTAAGCCGCCACTTCCCAGAGACCGGAACCTCGGCTGGGCGCCTGGCGCCCCCGGTGGACAGATGCGGGTCTGCATGTTTCCCCCTGTAGGAGCAAAGGCCAGGTCTCTCCTGCAGCTGCATCCACTGGACTGTGATCAGAGGGGGAGGAAGCTCTGCAGGAGGGGCCATACTCAGGGCCAAACCCCGGGAGAATCTCCCTAAGAGTGAAGGTAGTTTTAAATGTCGTTCTTTAAACATTTTTCAAAAATAGATGTCTGTTTAGAAAAACTCTCTATTTTTTACAAGTCTAAGTGTCACTGCCTGGACACTTGAATTAAAAAAAAAAAAAACAGACTATAATCAAAGTAAAGATTCTTCACTTAGAGCCCTAATCTGTTAGTGGTTTTGTAGACTCATTGTAACTTCAGGGTTTTTTGCAGCGTGGGGTTGGGAACTGGTTTGTCTCATGAAGAAACGTCTGTGTGATGCTCACTACTTCCTTCAATTCCACTGCAATTTTTGGTCTGTCCTTCAAAGAAAATGAGGTTTACCAAACTGTATTTGACATATTACAGGCACTTACCTGTGGGTTTGGGATTTGGGGTGATGTTTTATTCTTTACTCTTTTGTATTTTCCTGCTTTTCATATCTTTTTTTAATTTTTATTTTTTATTGAAGTGTAATTGATTTACAATGTTAGTTTCAGGTGCACAGTGAAGCAATTCAGTTATACATATACATACATACATATATGTATGTATATATATATATATATATATAGATTCTTTTCTATTAAAAATAAATCTCTGGCTTTTGGGGGGTAATTAGGTTTATTTCTTTCTTTCTCTATCTATCTATCTATCTATCTATCTATCTATCTATCTATCTATCATCTATGTATCTAATGGAGGTACTGAAAATTGAACCCAGGACCTTGTGCATGCTAAGCACACACTCTACCACTGAGCTATACCTGCCCCCGGGTATCATTTTTATAATGAACAATCTCTAATAATTTTAAAAATTGTTTTTCTCTTTCTTGCTGCAGGCCAGGGCTATTCCCTACAAATGGCTCATTTCCATGTGGAAAGCTTTTGGGACCTATTTCAATGTCAGATGAGCTATGAAGTTTTGAACAGTGTTAGTCTTTCATTGGGAATGATAATGAAAACTAGTCACCAAGCATGATTAAGGGAAAGGCTTTGCATCTGAGAAGAAGGATGGTAGGAATTAAGTGAAATAAAACCTCACGGTTTGTATAAATTAACTTTTTAGCAGGCTGTTCACGGTCCAGAGTACAGAAAGTGAGGTGATGGCAGGTACCCCCCATACCAAGGCCCAGAAGAGCATGGTTGACTGAAAACGAGTTTTCAAATCAATGTTAACTGATTAACTGAATACTTCATTCAAATGGCACATCAAAAAACTTCTTAAATTAGATAAAGCATCACACACTAAAGTCAGACAACATAAAACATATAGAAACACTGATTTAAAGTTTTTTCTTTTTTGTGCTTCTCTATATTTTCTAAAATGTTTTACCATATGTTTTAATCAGCAGAAAATGTGATTAAAAGGAACCAAATCAATCCTCAGTGGGGCATCAGCGCTCCTGGCAATAAACAGACCTGCTTGGCCGCTTCCGGCCAGCCTCCCGCCAGGTGCAGTGGGGTGGTCAGCAGAGGAGCTCAGGACTGTGGGATGGGCTCTCCCATGTGAGCCCCGGTCCTGGTCCAGCTCAGAGAGAAACACTGGAGATGTCCGGGGTGGGAGAGCAGTATAGCTACCAAGCACAGAGGAGGAACATTTCCTGAAGGAGAGGTTGTGTCCCACCTTCAAGAGCTGTCATCTCAGTGAGGTTGAAGGCCCAGACGGGCAATCACATCACCTCTGCCTACTTTCCAGCTCTTCCTGAACCAGCCTGTGACCTTGGACAAGCTCTTCAACTGCCCCTGACTCTGCTTCCAGTTCCATGCAAAAGAACAGCAGTAAGTCTCTTTTGAGAGTTAGTTGGGACAGTAAAGTAACACAGCACATGGCCTGATGTAGTAGGTGCTCAATTAACATTAGCTCTCCATGCAAAGTAGTTACTCAGTCCCTAACCACTCCTGAGAAAGTATAAACCAAGGAGCATCTAACTCCCTGAGGCCATCTACACACTGTGTGGTGTGGGAGTGTGGCAGTGGCAGAGTCCTGCCCATTCTATGTGCCCATGGCAGAAAGAGAGATGGCCTAGAAGTGTGCTGGGGGAGAGGATTCTGTCTGGG